TTGCAGCACCACTCGTAAAGCACGGTGCTGCTCGCTGTGGAGGTCGAGCTGGATCTGGAAATAGAATTCGCCAGGTTGGTGGCCAAAAAGCCTGGCTGACTTGACGCGGCTGGATGCCGCTCTTTCCAATGGCGAAAGCCGCGCGCTTGCCTGCGATCAGCTGCGGCTTCGCCCCCTTCTTGAGCGCCCGCGCGCGCGGCTGCTCCTCCTCCGCGATGTTGACCTCGGGTCCGGGACTGGCGTCTGCGATGCCATCGAGTCCCTGGTCGTAGCCCAGAGTCACGGGCGCGCCGAAAACGCAGTCCGAGCAGACTCCCCGGCGGCTGCAGACCTCGCAGGCCTTCTCGCCGCAGGCGATGCAATCCTGCAGCGGCGCGGTCACGCACGTCGTGGGGGAGGTGGTCTGCGGCAGCGTCGTCAACGTGAGGCTCGGAGCTGGCGCCGCGGTGGCGCAGCAAACCAGTGCTGAAACCGCGGCAGACAAAAGCCGTGTCGGTTGACGAGACTGGAGTCGCCTCGGGACGTGCAGCTCCTTCTTCGCGACGAGCTCGTTAATCGTATCGATCAGCATGCCGGTCGTGATCGTGTGACCGTGGGTTCGTCGCTCACCTTCGGTCGGCTGGCTGGCTTGGCAGGTTGCCCCAGGCCAGCGTCCTTGATGGCCTGCCAGTCCTCTGGCTGCAACTCGATCGCGGGGTGGCCCGCGGCGCTCGCCATGAGCTTCTGGGCGGAGTTCCCGACGCGGATCTGGCCCTTCCAGAGAGAGAGAGAGAGATGTCGATCTTGGAAGGCTGTATGACGTCGCAACCAATGAGCAAACCAATCGCGGGGCTGTCCACGACGCTGAACGCGACGCGGCCGGCCTCGCCGCAGAGCACGAGCGGCGCGGTGACGCGCGGCTTGCTCGGGAGAGCGCCTCCGTTGCCGAACCTGTAGACTTCGCCCTCGGGCTCTTCGAGGATCTGGTCGGCGAGGCCGATCCTGGCGAGGGCGCCCCCGTAGTTGTCCTGCCACTATCTGCCCCAAACGCAGAAAAGACAAGCGGTGTCCGCCACGCCGACGCCTTCGTCCGCGGGCCCCCCGTTCCCGATCGCGACGCTCCCGGCGCCGATCGCGGCAGGGGCCCGCCACCTGCGCCGCCGCCGCCTCCTCCAGAATCGGGGGGAGGTGCGGGCCCTGAGGTCCCTGGCGGGGCGCCCGGCGGTCGCCCGGGCGGCTGGCTGCCGCGCAGCGCGTTCAGCGCTTGTCCCCGCGGCGCAAGCTCCGACGCCGCGGCGTGGCGTAGGTGCCCACTGTTGACCTTCGCGGTCGTGGAGCGGCGGCTGACCCAGACGCTCGAGGCGCCCTCGAACCCGATGATGACGCAGGGCCCGTGCCGCTGCAAAGCCCATTCTCGCTTGGGCTCGCCGTTCCCCCTCCAGTAGTACGCCTGGTCGCCATGGTAGACGTCGCTGGCGTGCTGACATCGATCTGCCCGAGACCGGGCCGGCGGCGCTCTCGAGAGGGGCCGGTTGAATCTCAGCTGCTGCGTGGAGATCTGCGAGGCCTTCATGATGGCGATCCTCTCTGAGACAGGCACGTCGGACACGATGCGCTCGCGCAGGGGGGACCTGCCCGCGTCGTCCAGCAAGCAGCAGGGGAGCCGAAGGCCGCGCCCGAGCGCCCACTGCGACGGCGAGTCGCCCGCGGAATTGACCCGGCTTTTCATGGCCCAGCACGCGGGGGCGATCAGCCACTGGACCTTGTGGGCGATCTCGGGCCGGTCGAACCTGATGCTGAACTGGTCGGTCAGCTTCCTCGCGCGCATCTTCCACATTCTCCCACGCCGCTCCCACGCCGTTCCGAGGTGGTCATCAGACGGCAACCCGTGCCCCCCAGCTCCTTGGAGGACTCTCGCTCGAACTCGCCTCCTCCATCAAATATGGCGCGCTGAGGCGCGCCGAAAGGCGTGATCCGAATCTGCAGCAATCGAGCGAATGCAACTGGTGGGTGCCATGAGGCAACCGCGCCGCACATCGTAAAACCCGAGGCCAGGTCGACCACGTTCAGGTAGATCAGCTGGTTGCCCGCGTAGTTGGCACTCTGATGGAGTCGTTGAAATCCCTGTCCAGTCTGATCCTGCCTGGAAGGTGCGGTAGTGGCCGTTGATGTGCTGCGCAGACCTCGCAGTAGAGGTTGAGAGCCATCTCCACGGATCTCTGCGACCCGCCTGTCACGCGGATAACTCGGGCAAGCGAGTCGTCGGGCGGATGCCCCGTGTTCACGTGGAGCCGCGTCGCGGCGGACCTGAGCGCCCGCTCCTCCGCAGCCGTGAGCGCTGGTTCATGCGCGGCTGCGTCGGCCGGAACCGCCCTCCTGCTCGCCCTTCGCGCAGTAGGGTGTGCTTCGCGTAGGGGTCGGCGGCTTGGTCGCTGCAGTTGTTCGGCCAACACCTCCATGAGCTTGCGCGTGTAGTCCTCGCTGTTCTTCGCGGTCTTGCCGCGAGCCTCGGCGCGAGGATGCGACCCATCCCACGGACCTCTGAGCGAGTCGTCAAACCCGCAGTGGTCGGTGATCATAGCGTTCGTCGGGTAGGTTGCGCACGACGCGCTCGCGGCGCTCGGCCGCGAGCCCCGCCTTTCGCGGCAGGAACCACCCCGCTACGTCGCCCAGCGCGTCGAGGCCCACCTCGTTCTCACGTAGCTGCTGTAGACCCGTCTCGAAGCGGATGAGCCAGTCCGTCATTCGTTCACCTCGCCGTCGGTGATGCTGGGTAGATTCGAAAAACTGCTCGAGGGTCTCGCCCTTCTGCACGGGCTTCTGCTCAAGTGCTGTAATGCATGTTCGATGCCGACCTGATTCCGGCGGTGCTTCTTTTCGTCGGCCCCCTCGATGCGCGCTGCAGCTGCCGGGTGCAGCTGCTCCTCCTTCATATTCAACGCTGCGGTTCTAGCTGTCCCGCTGAGCCTGAGCGCAAGCTTCGAAGCGATACTCTGTGTGACTGAGAGATTCTCGCTGAGCTTCTACAGGTTCACATCCTGCCTGTAGTCTCTCCACTTTGAGAAAAACCGTTCCATGTCGGTATGACTGGCTGTCCGAAATTATGAAAATAATCCGACATGTTTGCGAAAAGGGGGTCGGAGTAAGGGAAATCGAACTCGGCGGCGTCGCTGATGCTCTGGGAGTAAAGGAAATCGAATTCGGCGGCGTCGCTGATGCTCTGAGAGTAAGGGAAATCGAACTTGGCGGCTTCGCTGAAGTTCTGGAAGTATGTGAATTTTGACTCGGCGGCTTCGCTGAAGTTCTGGGGGTGCGAGAAATCGAACTTGGAGGCGTGGGTGCTGGCGTTTTTGACGCTGGCGTGGGAGTTTGCGTTGAAGGCGTAGTAGGCGCTGCTGCTGGCGTCGCTGACGCTGGCGTAGGAGTTGGCGTCGAAAGCGTAGTAGGCGTGAGTGCAGGCGTCGCTGAAGCTGGCGTAGGAGTTGGCAGGGTAGGCGTAGTAGGCGTTGGTGCTAGCGTCGCTGACGCTGGCGTAGGCGCTGAGCAACACCGCGAGGAAACCGCTGGGCTTCGATTCCAGTACGGAAAGACGCGTCGCCGACGCCGTCGTTGCAATATGTACGGCCCCGCGGGCCGGGATAGCGAGCCTCGCTCCAAGCTGCCACTGCGATATGGAAGATTATTGCTGATAATGCTTTCTCGAACTTTGCGCGGCAGAGATCGTAGCTCAATTAGTCAAGGGCCCTATTTTGAGAGAAAACGGTTGCGGCAGAGCGGGCATGAGAGACAGAGCGAAAGCGAGGCGAAAGAGGGCGAGCCTTCTGGAATGACGTCATCGTCATCTCCATCTTCATCATCATCTCAACCACCACGACCATCACAATCACCATCAACATCACCATCATCATCACCACCACCATCGTCATCGTTGTTGTCATCGCCATCGTCATCAGCACAGTAGTCATCATCATCATCATAATCATCATCATCATCATCATCATCAGCATCAGTATCATTATCACCATCACCATAAGCATCATCATCATAAACATAATCATCATCGTCATCGTCATCGTCATCATCATCATCGAAACCACCATCATCATCGTTATCATCATCACCGAAACTACCATCATCATCAGCATGATCATCATCAGCATCATCCTCAGCACAATCATTATCACCATTACCATCACCATCATCATCATCACCGCTACCACCGCCACCGCCACCATCATCATCAGCAGCATCATCATCGCCATAATCATTATTAATACCAGCATCATCAACATCATCATCACCATCATCATCACCATCATCTTCTCGTCGTCATCGTCATCATCATCACCATCACCATCACAATCACCATCATCATCACCATCATCACTACCACCGCCACCGCCACCACCACCATCATCACCATCACACATTAACATCTCAACACCAGTATCAATACCATCATCATCACCACCACCATCATCATCATCATCATCATAATAATCATAATCATCATCATCTTCCTCGTCGTCGTCGTCATCATCAAATCCACTCGCCCTCCCCGATCGTCGATCCTGTACCCACGGACGGCACAGCCAAGTCTGGCGTGCGCAAATGTCCGTGAAGGAAACGGGTCCTAGACCCCGGGGCCTTCTCCTAAGAGCAGCTTCTCCCCCCCGGCTGTTTTGACAGTCCTGTGTCCAGGGGAAGTCTCGGGGAGCCCAGCGGAGAAAAAACCTCTGGCCCAGTTTTCCTCAGGATCCTCTTCCTTCATTCGGGAGCGCGCAAATACGGATTAGAGATCCATGGATGTGGCGCGCGTTCGCCAAATCCATGGATCGGGGGAAGTGCCCTCCCCAAAATGTGGCCGGTGCCGCCTCGTTCGGCGGCAGGAATCTGCGATTTCCCCTGGAAACGGGACCCGTCGCGAATCATGATCCACGCCCCCATGATCCATGTTTGCGATCGCCCGATCGATTCATGGCGGAGCGGAATGGTCGGGTCGCCACCATCCCAGACTCGTCCTCGTCCGCCTCGTCGTCCTCGCCCATCTCGCCTGCGGGCGCGGGGGGCGCGCGCGGCGCTCCAGGGCGGGAGTTCCTCCTCCTCCTCCTCCTCCTCCTCCTCCTCCTCCTCCTCCTCCTCCTAACAGGGCCATCTGTTGTGATCGTTGCGGCGCCTACGCACTATGGAGTCGCAAACATATCCTCCTGCGGTAGTGTCCCGGGGAGTTCCTCGTTCCAGCCACGCGTGCAAACCACCTGCTCAAGGTCGCACGTGCACGCGGTGGCCTGCATCCTACGTCTGGGAGGCCTCTCTCGGGGAAGGGCCCCGCGACCGCCCTCGGAGCCGCGGGCGCATGCCCGTGCCCCCGGGATGTACTCCGTCACAGCGGCATGTCGCCAGGTCAACATATTGTTTCACTCTGGGTTGCTACGCGTGGTGTTGAGCATCGTGCAATCATCGCAGCTGCCCGGAGATGTCCAAGGCGCGGTCGCGGTCCACCGCGTTCCATTCACTTGTTTCCTCTTCTGACCAGCCAAGCCTACAGTGAAGGCGTCCCGCCTCGTTTTCCTTGTCTTCCTCCTCCTCCTGCTCCTCCTCCTCCTCCTCTTCCTCATCGTTTTCCTCCGCCCCCTCCACTTCCTCATCTAGCCGGGTGGTGCACACGGAGCAGGGCGACCACGAGGCGGCGAGGTCACTGGACAACGACAAGGCGCCGAGGCCACCAGGCCCAGGAGGGCATGCGGGCAGCCAAACTAACACCGGAGCGGTCGCTCTCAGGAGGGGCCTGCTTTCGAAACAGAGCGCACACGGTTCAAGGCGGGAGGATAGGTCATCTTCTACCTGGATCACAACATCCTGCCCAAGGCTGGGCTGGTCAGACAGCTGGCCAAAAAGCCCTGGAAATACGTCCTTGCGGGCTTCACCGAGGAAAAAGAGACCAGTCCAAGTGCAATACGCCATGGAGCTCTCAGCTAAACAGCTTCGCAAAGACGGAATCCATATGGACTGACGTTGAACTCATATGGCGGGGAAAACCCAGATCTCTTGTTTTCGACGTCCTGTCGGGACCCAATATCTTGTCTTCGACGTCCTGTCAGGAACCAACCATCGCGGAGGCATCTTCCGACTATGCGGCCAGGCGGCCAACGAAGCCCGTCACCCAATCGCAGGGGCCACCGCAATCTACTACAGACACGACAGGCCCAGACGGCTAAGCCTCGCGTGGCCCAGCTTCGCCGCCCCAATTGATCCCCTGCCCCGGAGACAAAGAATCACGTCGCGCTCAAGAAGCCGACCTCCAAGAACCGCAAAGAGCCACGATAGGCCCCCACAGTCAGGCCCAGCCAAGCTCACCCGTCACCAGACGAGGATGAAATGGCCAAACAAGTGGCACGCGTGCCCTGGCTCTTGCACCAAGGAGCTGCTAGAGACAGTAGGCGTTCGCCTCCTTCCTCCAGGAGTTTACTATGGTGGCCGTGGGGGGGAGGACGAACGACGAACGAACGAACGACGACCATGAACGAAAATAAAGAGGTTCGAGCTCTAGAGCACAGCTGTGCAAGAGAATAAATAGTTCCGCGGTCCAGGGGAGCTGCCCTGGGAAATCCTGGAGAGCTGCCCTGGGGAGCCCTGGGGGGGGATGCTGCTCTAGGGGCGGGGGGCTCTGGGGAGCGCTGCCCTGGGGAGCCCTGGGGGGGAGGGGGGAAAGGGACGACCACGAACGAACGGAAATTAAGGGTTCCGCGGTCCAGGGGAGCTGCCCTGCGAAATCCTGGGGCTGCCCTGCGCTGCTCGGGGAAAAAGGCGGGGGGGGGCCCGGGGAGCCCTGGGGAGGGGAGGGGGGGGGGACGACCACAAATGAACGAAAATAAAGAGTTCCGCGGTCCAGGGGACCTGCCCTGGGACCCTGGAGAGCTGCCCTGGGAGTTCCGCGGTCCAGGGGAGCTGCCCTGCGAAACCCTGGAGAGCTGCCCTGAGGAGCCCTGGGGGGGGGGGGATGCTGCTCTAGGAGCGGGGGGCCCTGGGGAGCGCTGCCCTGGGGAGCCCTGGGGGGGGAGGGGGGAGGGGGACGACCACGAACGAACGAGAATAAAGGGTTCCGCGGTCCAGGGGAGCTGCCTAGCTGCCCTGCGGAAACACTTGGGCGAGGGGGGCTAGCTGCCCAGCGGAAACACTTGGGGGGGGGGCGGCGGGGGAAGAGGACGACCACGAACGAACGAAAATAAAGATGTCCGAGCTCTAGAGCACAGCTGTGCAAGAGAATAATGAATACAGCTAGCGCCTAGGCAACTGAGCCACCCGCCACCAGGTGAGGCTGGCACGGCGAGGAGCACGGCCAACTCGAAGGAAGGTGGAGAGACACAGCAACGCTCTGCGCAAGTGGTCATGCTGCCTCGAATAACCGAAGGAAAGAAGGGCCCGTTCGACCGAGAAAACAGTCGCCACAAAGGCAAAGGCCACCAGTGCCGAGACGCCACGAGTCACCAGGGGGAGTCGCCTCCTCAGACTCGCCGCCTCGATCGCCGAAGAGGGCAAGCCCGCCTAGCCCAGCAGCGCCTAGCATGGTCACCAAAGGCGCGCCCAAGAGGATGATGCAGCTGGGTGCGCCACAGAAGGCGGCGCCAGCCAGTGCGAGGGCCAAACCAGCTGCGATCGGCCCTAAAGAGACAGTGCACAGCTGGATTTTCTGTTCCAAAGAGAAACGCCACGGCCCGAGCCTCGGGCGCCCCGCCCCGACAGCAACCCACCGAGCTTCACGGCCCACGCCAGCAGCGCCAAGCTCACCACCAAAAAAAGCAGCAGCCCGACTGCCATCTCCGCGGCTGCAGGAAGAACCCACTTCTCGGGGGCCAGTGCACCTAGCGCGCCCACAGGTCCCCTGGCCTCGGCGGGCCCAGTGGCTCCGGGAGCGGCAGCGCCCAGCCCCCACGGGGTCGCCGCGTTAGCCCGACCGTCGCGTAGCCCGCCCAGCCAGGCCCACGCCCGAGCAGGAATTCAATCACCGAGCCAAGGACTGGACAGCCGCGACACCAGCGAGCCATCAGGCGAATCTGAGATCCACGAGGATGCCGAGGCCCACACCAGGTCAGCCACGTGGACTTCGACGACAACATCAAGAACATGACGACAGCGGCGAGGGTGAGTCGGCCGAAGAGGCCGACGTGGGCGCGTCGCCAAGAGCGGGGGACGCCGCGCCAGGGCGCTGCTACCTGGGCGACCGCCTCTTTGCTCGCGGTGGCGACGAAGGCGGCGACCCCCCCTCCGTCGCCGCGTGCACCGCTACTGCCCTCGCGTTTGCCGCCGCCGCCGCCTCGCCCGCGCCCCCCCCCACTCCCGTTGCCGTCAGGTGCTTCAGGTTTGCCAGCGGGAACTTGCACGCCCCGCCCCCCGGCCCCCCGGCGCAAATTTCGGCGCCGCCCGGCGACCAGCTCCTCGAGGAGAAACTCGCCAGAGGCCACCTCCAACAGGCTCGATTACTGCGGCAACACCGAAAAGCCAGAGGTAACCCCAGCCCCACTGACGGAGACGGCCTGGATGCTGACTGGGACCTGCTCACCACGCCACGGGGGCACTGCGGCGCCACCGCCCACGCCCCCCAAGAAACCAGCCGCCGCCGCCGCCGCCCCGCTGAGCACATCCACGCCTTGAACAGAAGCATCCGCTCATCAGAGACAGGGCATGGCGATCTGTTTGGGGGCGCAGAGCCGCTGGCGACTGCGTCCAACGCCAAGAGCGAGGACATGGCGCTGGGCGCGGAGTCCGCTCCAAGGCCGCAAAGCGCGGCGGAGTCTGCATCGCTGCGCAAGGGGTGCAAGTGGGCACTACTAATGACGACTCGACTGTCACCGCCCTCCTCGCGACCACTCGGCGGCCGGGGGACTTCCATCCCGCCCGCGCCTCGACCGCCGCCGCGCCTCACCGAAAGCGCATGCGTTGCTTAGCTCCGCGCCAAATCGGGCGCTGACAGCACGGCCCCATTCCAGCATGTTTGGGAGGCGGCCAACAAGGGCGGTGGCGCGCCGCATTTCAGACGCATCGGCGCCACATTCGACGCGACAGATTGCGAAATCCTCGCGCCCCCCCCCCAATCGGGCGCGCAAACGCAGCGCCGAGCCATCTGGGCGAGCGAACATTCACTTGCGGCCAAGACGACTGGGGCCGTCGCGCCGCGGGCTCCTGGAGAACGCGCGCCTGCGTTTTCGCCAACTAGAAAGGGAGACAACTGGATGCCAATGTTGTCCTCCTGCGCGACCTCCCCGCCAGGCAGCGCCTCGGCCCCCTGGCCCCCTCGACCTCGACGTCGCCAGACACCAAACCAAGAGACTGCAAACGGTCATGAGATACCCGCTTGCTTGCCCGACGAGAGTCAGAGACGAACCGTGAGCCTTCGGGGGCCACGTCGAGAGCACTTGCCGCGCGCGGACGGACGAGGCCGGCGCAGCCGGCGACGTCGACGAGACATTCGACCTGGCCATCCAAGCGTCGCGCGCTTTTCACGCGGAACTCCGCGGCAGATGCCCGCCGCAAGACCGGGGCGGAGTCCCGACTAAATGCGACAAAACTCGACGCTTGCAAGGCGCCTCCGCCGCCCCGCTCGTTCACCCTGTTAACGCGGAGCGGTCGGTCGGCCGGCGATCATTACGCCTGCCGCCGCTCTAGCCTTCGGGGGCAAATCACGAACCTGGGCCGCAGCCGACGTCCTCGCCAAACGCCGCCGCCCAACTAACCGGGCGGGTTTCCCGCGCGCCTGGGGCTGCGGCGAACTCCCGGCCGACCGGCCAATGGACAACCTGATCGCCTCCACTGACGATCGGCCGAGAAGATGCAGCCACGCCGAGAAAACCAACCGGGGCACTGCCCAGAAAGCACGAATTCGAGCCAACGGCGGCGGCTGGGCGAAAAGCAGAGAAGTGAAGTGGGTCAAAGCAACCGGCAAGTCCAGCACTGTCCACCCGCGCCCCCCGCTCTCGCCTCCGGGCACGCACGGGGGCGTAGAACGCAAGGGCGGAGATGCGTCGGAAGAAGAAAATGCCTGATGCATGGCCCGTC